CCCATGCTTGTAGTAATAATTTAATGAGCTATAACAGTCGAACTAGCAAAGAAGAACTTTCGCACTGTACAACATTTTCATTCATCTGTATGGTGTTTTACAGATGGGTAAAGTATGTTGGTTTGGATGTCATATCTATAATAATTAATAATAATACAGATCTGTTCAAAATTAACAAACATTATAATGAATAATTACAAACTATTACAAAACATTATTGATCAAGTTATAATTGTCTAATAATGTTGGTATTTTTGATTAATAAAAGTATAATAAAGATTTGTGTAATGCCATATTTGTAACTGGTACATTTTTAATAGTAATTTTTTATTGTTGACCACCAGGCCAGCAATAGTGTGACTGTATGAATGTTCTCTCAGATAATAGCACATCAAGTAAAATTCAATTAATGTGCAACTGCAACAATTATCTGCCATGTATATCAAATTAAACATTCAACCACCAATACTATACAGGAAGTTGGATGTATTTCAAGAATAGAAATTGACCATTATTACTTGGCCCTGTACAGTAAATGCTCTGTGACCTCAACAAACATCTAGGATCATATTTTTCAAACTATACCTTCACAAAGTTTTGTAATACTTGTCACAAGAGATGATTGGCTGTTTGTGACAATTTCCAATTCTGAAAGTTCTTTCTTTAAGTTTTTTATATTGTCTTTTCTTTTTTTCAACATACAGTTCAGACTGTATGCAGACAAGTTCTCTGGGGATCCAGTTCGTCTTTTTATTTCCTCCTCAGATATTGTATACCTAGAATGATGACAATACAAGATTTAATTGTGAATAACATAAAAAGAGTGAAATAAAAATTTGAATATTAAAAAAAAAAATCCATGCATGGCCCTTGTAATAGCAATTTCAGACGTTAAAATGTGCATGAATTTTATTGTGAAATGTATGGTAATTTTTGAGAAAATGATGAAAAATAAAATTGATATACACAGTATGCAACTGAGTTTTATTTGAATCAGAAAACTGGATTATGATTAATTGTTCATGTATTTATACCTCAATATAATCAGGTCCTGTAAAATAATAAAACAACGCTAATGATTGGCGCATACAAACAAAACGTAACACTGTCATTCCATATTAGGAATGACACGTGACTAACACGAGACAGAACTTTGGTGTGAATTTTGGCAGTAAGCAGATAAAGTATCCTGAGAACGCAATGGGATGGGAAACAATGTATCGAACGTTTGGAGATAACGTCACAGTTGCTACAGAAACCGATCTGGTCTCTCAGGGTTCAACTCGTGGTTATCAAAACAATGTCTGAATTTACAAACTAACTTAGAACACATCATAAAGAAATGTAAAATTGTTCATGTCAGATAACTGCGTGCGACACAATATTCCAAGAGTAACATACATTTACTATTTAATATTCAAACGTCAATTTTCACCAAACCAGGTTTGAAACAA